GCTCTGGACTCCAGTTGGCCACTGCCAAAATGCCATCTCCCCGCAGACGCCATCCCCTGCAGCCTGGCCCCCTCCCACCTCCCCCATCCTGAGTTCTGTGTCCTCCCGGCACCCTGGGGGAGAGCTGTGCTGCTGGGGGGAGGGGGCTCCGCCCCAGAGCCTCCCGTGCCCTGTTCCCAGCTGCTCACCTCTGACGCCCGTTACCCGGTACATAACAGAGGTCCGGGAGCTGCCGGGCCTCAGTGTGGACTGCTCTGAGAAGCTGTGTGAGCAGCTGGCCGAGGCCAGCTCAGGGTCAGACGCAGGCTGGTATGACCACCATCTGCCTCAGTTTCCCTTCCGTCATAGCAAGTCACCCCTGTGGGATTGTGCTGATGCGGGATTCAGCAGGCCTGTGTGCTGATTCTGGACCGCAGAGAGCCGCTGCCTCTGGAGGGACCCCCTCTCTCCTCGTAGTCCATAACACCCATGACAGAGCGACACCCCGGTCCCAGGAACAGACGCGGGAAGATGAACAGAGATCACATGGGAGTGCACACCAGACAAGATGTGAATGGAGATGAGGCGGGGGGGGGGGGGGTGGGTCTTGAGGCCCAGAAGAGGGGGGCAAGGCCTTAGCCCTGAGGGCCCCATCCATAGTCCTGTTCTGCTATGAGCCAGGACTGGGTGTGGACAAGGTGTCTGAGGACCCGGACAGGGAAGAGCAGGGCAGGCTGCTGCTCTGCAGAGCAGAGGCCTTGAACAGGTCTGCACACACATGCCTCACTGTCCCTGCCTGCAAAACGGGCACCAAGTCAGGAACCCTTCTAAGAGGCTAGACTAGCTGAGCACAGTGGCTCATGCCTATAATCCCAGCTACTCAGCAGGCTAAGAGCTGAGGATCACAATTTGAAGCCAGTCTGAGGACAACAATCTGTGTGACTCCTAGCACTGGTTAACCAGCAAAAAGCTGGACGTAGAGGTGTGGCTCAGGTGGTAGAGTGCCAGCCTGGAGTGAGAGCCAGGTCATATCCTGAGGCCTGTTCAGTCTTGGGACTGGCGTGCCTGCGTGTGTGCGCACACACACACACACACACACATACACACACGCGTGTGCACACGCGCGCACACACACACACGTGCACACGCGCACACACACATACACACACGTGCGTGCACACGCGCACACACACATACACACACGCGCGCGCGTGCACACGCGCACACACACATACACACACGCGCGTGCACACGCGCACACACACATACACACACACGCGCGCGTGCACACGCGCGCACACACACACACACTGTTAGGAACGGTGACTAAAGCCTGTAATCCTAGCTGTTTGGGAGGTAGATATTGGAGGATCATGGTTTGAAGCCAGATTGGAGAAAACATTCTTGAGACCCCATCTCAACCAAGGGAGCACCCGTGAGCCTGGCTGGGCCCAGTGACTGCAAGGTGTCATGTGCCTCTTGCCTTTAGTGACACGGAGGCACAAGTGGGAAGATCGGATCAGACGGAGCATAGAGCATGACCCAACCTCTAAAATAACCAGCAAAAGAAGTGGAAGGTGGCTCAGTGGTAGAGCGCTGGCCTCGCATGCATCAGGCCCTGGGTTCAACTCCTCAGCACCACATAAGCAGAAAAAACAGGAAGTAGCGCTGTGGCTCAAGTGGTAGAGTGCTTGCCTTGAGCTGAAGAGCTGAGGGACAGCGCCCAGGCCCAGAGTTCAGGCCCCACGACCGGACCCCCCCCCCCCCAAAAAAAAAAAACAAAAAAAAACCAAATGGGAAGTGTTGGCCAGGAGAAGGGAGGCTGGCGCTGCGGGCTGCTGGGGGGGGGCACGATGCGCCTGGCCTCTGCAGGGCCCCTGGGATCTGGTCGCCCTGCCTTCCCAGACGTGGCGTTCAGAACCCTCAGTGTGAGTCACGGAGGGGCGTGGGGGACGCCCCTGCCTCAGTTTCTTTCCCATCTGTTGGTACTGGCTGGTCAAGGCCTTGACGCACACCTAGGCCTGCTGCTCCAGGGCCACCCTCGTGGTGTCCACCAGCCAGGAGGCCAGGCTTTAGACCCGGTTCATGGCCCCTGGTGACCTGTGCCCTCACTGCACGCACCTCAGGGAGGGGGAGCAGGGACATCCCATCCCCCGCCCCCGGGCCCAAGCTGCCTGCCACCCCGCGGTGAGAAAGCCTGAACCTGTTGCTATTTTCTCCCTGCTATCAGGGCCTTATCTGATCGCTCTGTGCCTCCTGGAGGCCAGGGTCCCCCTGCTGGCAATGCCATGTGCTGGCCGCCCACCTGCTGCCCAGCAGGGGGGGGGAGGCCAAGCCCTCTACCAGATACGGTGGGGGGTCTTATTCTTCAACCTCTACTGTCCTTTCCCGGCCCAGCTGGCTGCTGAGAGGCTGCCCCACTCTCCACCACAAGACCAAGTTTAGGAGGCGCTGCCTCTGGGCCTTGGCGTATGCCGTTCCCAGCCTCGCTGGCCAGTGGCCTTCCTCTCCTGCAGGGCCATGCCTGGGGGCACGGCCGAGGAGGGGTGAGCCGATGGTGGGCTGAGACAGCCGTGGGGACAGTGAGGCCAAGCGGGGGCCCTGGGGCCTCCCTGCGTCCTCTGCCCCGTTCCTGGAGGGGTCCGGAAGAGGAGCCAGGTGTGCCAGGAAGGTGTGGGTGAGGTAGGGCTGGCAGAGATCCGCCCGCACCCTTGTTCCCACAGTGACGCCCCCGGGGGGCAGCAGCAGGAGCGCTGAAGCACTCTCCTGACCCGACCCCGGGAGCTGCGGTGCGGGGCCCCGGTCCTGCCCCAGCAGCAGGAGCTCCGGGAAGAAGCCCCAGCAGCTGGGGACCCGGGAGGGACAGAAGGGAGAGGGATCGCCCGCCGTGCGGTCTGTCTCCGTAATTCAGTTTAAAGCATGAAAAAGGGAGTTGATGAAATTCCACTATCAGTGCTGAGCCAATATGCAAAATATCTCACCCCCAATCAAATAGCTATTATGTTTCCATTTCCATCCCTGCGTCCGGCTTAATGAGCGGGAGACGGATGGGCGCTTGGGCACCTGCTCCTTGCGATAACCGAGGGGCTGCGCCCAGCACTGCCCTGGCCGCTGGGGACTGCCCTGATGGCCCTTGACTGTCCCTAGGCAGGTGCACAGCCCTGGACACCAACCTCTGACCTGATGCCAGCCGAGTGGAAGCCCTGGGGCGGCCAGGGGGTCCGCGGCCAAGGCTCTGAGCAGCTTGGGTCCAGACAGGCCTGAAGTGCGTCTCTGTTCAGCCCAGCCTCTGCTCCTTCTGTAAGGACAGGGCCAGAGAGTCGGCCTTCCTGGGCCTCCGTTTACTTGGCCATCAAGCTGCTATGACCCAGGCCTCTTTGTGAGGTGCAGGGCTGTGCCCCAGGGGCCTGCCCGTCCTCCACCCCTGGCCACACTCTCGCCTCCTCCGGCATCCTGTCAGCTCCCCACTGCACACTGAGAGCTGATCCCGCTTGGACGGTGCCTCAGTTTCCCCATCTGAGATGGAAAGTGGCAGATGACCTTGCTGGGCTGTGTGGGTTAGGGAATTTAGGGAGAAATTCGTGAAGAGTGCAGGTGGACCCGTATCTGGTGGTGCTCAGTCGGCAGTGGTGTCCCTCCACCTCTCAGGCTGCTGGCAGCGCCTGGTGGCAGTGCTGGCCAGCGTCTGCAGGGCACTCACCACGGGTCTACTTGGGCCATGATCTGGAAAGCAGGTACTTCCCATTTGTAAGCGGGGAGGCAGCACCACTGGCCCAGGCTGCAGAGCAAGGACACATACGTGCTGTCTACCACCTGCCCAGCCGCTGGGGTCCCTAAAGGGACAGCTGAGGAGCAGCAGTTCTCAGATGCCCCCAACCTGTGGGGTCTGGGGCTCTGGCATCCACCCGGCAGCCTCCAGCAGCATGGGCGCGTTTACCCAGGAAGCCAGGGTGCCTGGGGCAGGCTTCGCCGTGGCTGGCTGTTGTCTCCCGCATTATCATCACCGCTGTTTTAATTGTGCTGGAACTGAATTAGCAGCATTAGAATAAATCGACACTCAGCCTGGCAGCCTCTTTCTCCACGCTCGTCAGCGAGGCTTTGTGCTGTGCACGCCTTTGTTCTCCAGTAAGTGGAGGACCCTCACTCACCCTGGGCTATCTGGGCATCTGCGGCCCAGCTGGGTGGCACTGCCCCGGGGCTGCTGGGGGCTGTGGTAGAGCTGGGAGGGGTGTCTGGCCACGCCCAGCAATCAGCTCCACCCAGCACCGGTCTGCAAAGGCCACATCCCACCCGTCAGAGCCCCCATCCTCAACAGCCAGTGTGCGAGGTGTGGCCTGGAAGCGCCGGCCCTGCCCCGTGCGTGCAGGGTGCTGCCCCCTGAGCCGCTGCAGCTAGCCAGGCAGGAGCAGAGGATGACCGGAGGTGTAGGCCCCGGCTGAGCCTCGGCTCTCTGCTCCTGGATGCCTTGCCCTGGTGTTGGGGATACCTGGCGGATCACCGTGGGGCTGCGTGGACTTGTCTCTGTCCACTGTCTCCTCATCACCCAGCCCATGTTTACACACCAGTATGTGGTCACGGCACTCGACTCTGGGCCGTGGACCAAGTGTCGGGATCCTGGGAACTGGGGGATCCCGTGTAGGGGCCAGGCAGACATGTAGTGTGGGGTTCACAGGTCAAGGAGGCCTACAGCACCCACCCCAGAAGGCCCTGCCCCAGAAGGGTCCCAGGTTGCCCCACATCTTCAGCTGGTGGGCGAGACCCCGGGGATGGGGGCCCATGACCTCAGGCCAGCAGGGAGAGAGGAGGGCGGGACCAAGGCTGAGGACCAAGGCCTGGGGAAGGACCCCCATCCACCCGGTGGGCTTAGAGGGAGCCTGGCCACCAGCCCCAGTGGGTGGCTGGCCCTGCCCCTGTCTGGCTGCCACCTCCCCGGGCACCAGGGTGTGTGGGCGTGGGGCAGGGGTCCAGGAGGGCCCTGCTGATCCCTGGCGCTCCTCATGGCTCCTGGCTCCTCTCCACAGGTTCCCTTGGAGACATGGAGCTTGCAGAGGAGGCCCAGGCTGCCGGCAGCGGTCCCACAGAGCCGGAGGCCACGGCACCAGAGCCCAAGACCGCCAAGGAGGCCGAGCCCCCAAGCCCCTGCCGAGCCGGTGAGTGCACCGCGTGTCCTCCCCGGGCCCCCAGGGCCTCAGTGGCTCGGGGGTGTCTGTGCCGTGGCACGCCTGGTCAGCCCAGGGCGTCCAGGCCCACAGTTGGGTCTCACCCTCTGAGGACCTGGAAGGTGCCGACAGCCGGTGGTCTCAGTGCCCGGCCCTGCGCTGAGGGGGAGACAGGCCCTGACGGGCGATCGCTGCTCCACATGGAGACTGGGGAACCTGTGGGCACTGAGTTCACCGTCGTGAGATGGGGTTGCTGAGCACGGCTCACTGAGCCACCGTGCTCCCGCCACACTGCAGGCGGACGGGGCCCAGAGAGGTGAGGCGTCTCCTCAGGGTCACACAGCCCCTGCACACCTGAGCAGGAGTCTGACTCGGGTCTGATTCAGCTTTACTCTTAAACCCGGTCCTCACCTCATGTGGGGGCCCTGCCGAGCACCAGCCCTGGGGGGGCCTTAAGGCCTCAGAGACCCCAGAGTTCTCCAGAGGCGACGGGGTGGGGGCCAGCATCTCACCGGGCTCCAGACGAGGCCAAAGTCCCAGAGGGACGGTGGTGGTCCTCAGTGGCCTGCGCTCACCTCCACCTGCAGTCCCAGGTGGCCATGGGCTGCCTGCCTGAAGGACCCTCAGCAGCATCTCACAGGCCACACGGCTGCACCGTCCACCGTGGGGGCGGCAAGCGGGGCATGACCCCGAGCGGGGGAGGTGGGCAGAGGCCTCGCGCAGAAGCCCCAAAGGCATTGAGGGGCAGTTCTGCCCTGACACAGTGAGCACAGAGACCCTGCAGGGCCACAGAATGGACAACGGGAGGGGGACAGAGGAGGATGGAGACTGAGGGTGAGCAGAGGGGGACGGGGGGGGGGGGGGAGATGGACCCCGGGGGGGACTGAGGGTGGGCGGGGGGAGGACAGTGAGGAGGACAGAAGGGGATGGGGGGAGGGGGAGGACGGGGACCGTGGGGAGGACTGAGGGTGGGCAGGGAGGAGGATGGGGGGAGGACGGGGGGAGGATGGTGAGGATGGAAGGGGACAGGGGGGAGGGGGAGGACAGGGACCGTGGGGAGGACTGAGGGTGGGCAGGGGGGAGGACGGGGGGAGGATGGTGAGGATGGAAGGGGACAGCGGGGGGGAGGAGGACGGGGACCGTGGGGAGGACTGAGGGTGGGCAGGGAGGAGGATGGAGGGCCCAGCAAATGTGGACAGCCTTGAACTGGAGCATGGCTCTGCCCCAGCACCCCACTGCCTGGCGACAAGCTGGGAGCCCGCCTGCTCCGTCCCCAGCCCAGGCCCCTGGCTGGCCCTTTTCCTTTCCCAGAATGAACCGGGGCCAGGGCCGTGTGGCCAGTGGGTGGGCAGGCCCTGAGCATCCCCTGGGGCCCGTGGTCAGTGTACACACTGCCAGGTGGTCCAGGTGGAATGTAGCCCCCTGGGCCCTACTCCTTACGCTCCAGGCCTCGGTCCGAGGCTGCCCAGCGCTGTGGCGTGGGGGGCCTTGAGCGGAGCCGGGTGTGCAGCTCCCAGCCGCCCCGGGCTTATCTCCTTCACCATCAACATTATTAGGTGCGGGCTAATGGAGGGCCCGGGGCAGGCCAGGACTGCCAAAGGGCAAGTGGCTGGTTGCTGGTGGACTTTGACCCAGTGGCTTCCCTGGGAGCTGGGTCCTTTATCTGATTTGGGAGCTGGGGCTGCATAGGGGGGCGGGTGGGGCCAGGGAACGAGCTGGAAAAACAGCCAGGCCTGCACCTGGCACCAGCTGCGGCGATCGCCCCGCGATGCTGCGATAAGCCGCGCCGCGCAGCAGCAGCGCGTGTCTGCGCTCAGGCGGGTCCAGCGCGGCTCCCGCGCGGTGGCTGGAGCTCAAATGCCAGCCACTTTGATTTATAGCCAAAAATAATAGGACTTTTATACTGTGTGATTGATTTATTTGATGTTAATCACAGCCTTATCTCGGGTATTAATAATCTGCCCGGCATGTGACGTCACCAAGGGGCTTTATGGGCGCGCATCGATCGGGGGCTGTGGTGGTTATCAGCCCCACTCGGAAGGCAAATATGCCCTTTGGGCTGGAATTGGGTGCGGGGCCTGGCAGAGGGGCCCAGCTGCTGTGCGCCCGGCCGGCGGGAGGCAGTGCGGGCCGCGGGCCTGGCACCTGGTCAGGACCCCGCTCACTCTTCCGAGGGGACGGTCACCACACTACGGTTCACCGGGGCCGAGGGGGCTCCAGAGCGACACTGCCATGTCGTCCCCACGCTCCCCGGTCAGCCAGCCACAAGGGCGGTGACTCGGGCCCTGCTCACTTACCCTCGCCTGTTTCCCTCCGCCCACAGGGGGCCAGTCAGCAGTGTGTGATGGTCTTTTCCTTTCTGCAGAGGTGAGTCCTCCCCAAGAGGCGGCACCCCCCACCCCCCCAGGAGGCTCTGAGGAGACGGAGGGACAGGAGCCGGACAGAAGACCCCAGGAGCAGGAGGAAGAGGAGGAGGCGGCCGCAGCCAGTCCCTGGAGTGGGCCAGGTAACCAGGCAGGCAGGCAGTGCAGCCTTCGGGGCCTGCGGAAGCTGGGCCATCCCGTGCTCCGGTCCTTGGAGACTGGCTGTGTTTAGAGATGGTCGCTAGTGTGCCTGTGCCTAGAGCAAGGTCCAGGCAGAATCACCGCAGGACTCCTGGGAGACAGGATCTAATCTGTCTGGGAAGGGAGTGCACTGAGCGGGCCAAGTCCCCAGAGCGGGCCTGGGGGCGTGTCTGCAGCTGCCAGTCCTGAGGCCGGCTAGCTGGTGGCAGGCAGGTCAGGGTGTGAATTCTGAGCTGGGCAGTGCCCAGGGTTGGACTCAGGCCTGTGCTGACAGGACTCAGCCCCCTCGGGGGTGGCAAGCTCCATCCGAGGTAGAAGTCAGGGGTCGACACCACACTGCCCATCAGGCCTGGGCCAGGGAGCGTCCCTGGGGCAGCTTGCGCTCTGGCCATGTCACTGGCCAGGCAGCTGCAGCTCCCCAGGCCCTGCCCCCAACCCCCACTGTGTTGAGCCCCATCACCTGTGAAGGGAGGGGGAGCGGGGAGCGAGCAGCGGCTGTCCCTCCGTTCCTAACTGAGAGATGGCGCCTGCCACGCAGGAGGTGGGCGAGGCTTTGGGCTGCTGTGCCAGGCAGGTGGGTGCGCAGAGCGGGCATTGGTTGAGGGCCTGCTGTGGGGGAGGCTGGCGGCTCTCCGGTGCCGTGGCTAGCGTCAGGGGGCCTCCTGCCTGTGGGAAGGCCTGCCTTGCTGAGGGGGTGGGAAGGCTTTGCTGAGGAGCAAAGGGCCCGGTCCTTCCTCTGGGGACCCCGGGCACCAGTGGACAACCCGCCGCATGGTGTTTTGAGAGCAAGTGGATCCGTAGTCCCCGTCACTTACGTGACCCAGGAACCATCAGGACGGAGACCCCGAGCCATGGGAAGCAAGGACCATGCAGCCGTCCTGGATGGCTGCAAGGCCGCCTGAGAAGGGTGGCCTGGCACGGAAGGGCCGCGTGGCCAGCGCCGGTGGGGACCCCCTGCTGCCTGCAGTGCGGTGGGCACTGCGGGTCCTTCCCCGCACTCAGTGACAGGCAGGGGAGGGTCCCTGGTGAGCTGGCAGACATGCGCAGAGCGGAGTCCTCCCCTCCCTCCGCAGCCTCACAGCCAGGCAGGCGTGGCCAGGGACCGGGTGGCACAGGGGCTGTCTGTGTCCACACCAATGACTTCATCTGTTTGTTTCCCCAGCAGGAGGGGTGGTGAGCAGGCTGCGGCGGGCACCTCTTCAGCCCAGACCCCCAGTGGGCCTCACCTCACGTTCACAGGGAGTGTGCCTGTGGGAGCTGGTGGGGAGGACCACTGTGGTCCTCAAGGGGCCAGGGGTGGCTGCAGGGCGGGCGGGCAGCACAGAGCAGCCCCCCTGGCAGCCCTGCTGCGTGAGCAGGGGTGAGGCTGGGGGCTGGCGGAGGGCCCCAGCTTGCAGGGGTGAGTCCAGTGCTGGCTGGGGGCTCCTGAATATCGAGGGGGACTGTCATGCCAGGCCCCCTCCCCCACTGCACCTCACACCCTCATTTCTAGGAGAAGCAAAACTCCCTGGAGTTTGGAACCCGACTCCCGCCAGCCCCTGAGAGGAGCCAGGCCCGCGGCTGTGGCTGCAGCGCTTCCTGTGCTATTTGCATCCTTGAGGGCGAGGAGGGGCCCGTCGGTACCCACAGATAGGGATTTCTGTGCAGTGGGCAGAGATGGGCTGATAAGGGGCCTCTGGCCAACCGCCGGGTGGCCGCCGTCTATCAGGCCCACACAGGCCACACAGATCGCCTGGTGGGAAGCGGGGAGGCCCGGCGGCCGCTTATCGCCCGGAGGCCGCCCATGCGGCGATGGGGCAGCAGGTCCCCATGGGATTGGGGACCTTGGGGCAATGCCCAGTCTGGTGCCTGGCTTGGTAGCCAAGGACACAGCAGGGGTCCAGCCACCTTCACACTGCTGCGCCCACCCCCGCCTCTCCAGCACCCCCTCTTCACACCCTATCCCCAGCTCCACGCCTGCACCCCCTCTTCACACCCCATCCCCAGATCCATCCTGCACCCCCTCTTCACACCCCATCCCCAGCTCCACGCCTGCACCCCCTCTTCACACCCCATCCCCAGCTCCATCCTGCACCCCCTCTTCACACCCCATCCCCAGCTCCATCCTGCACCCCCTCTTCACACCCCATCCCCAGATCCATCCTGCACCCCCTCTTCATACACCATCCCCAGCTCCATCCTGCACCCCCTCTTCACACCCCATCCCCAGATCCATCCTGCACCCCCTCTTCACACCCCATCCCCAGCTCCATCCTGCACCCCCTCTTCACACCCCATCCCCAGATCCATCCTGCACCCCCTCTTCACACCCCATCCCCAGCTCCATCCTGCACCCCCTCTTCACACCCCATCCCCAGATCCATCCTGCACCCCCTCTTCACACCCCATCCCCAGCTCCATCCTGCACCCCCTCTTCACATCCCATCCCCAGCTCCATCCTGCACCCCCTCTTCACACCCCATCCCCAGCTCCATCCTGCACCCCCTCTTCACACCCCATCCCCAGATCCATCCTGCACCCCCTCTTCACACCCCATCCCCAGCTCCATCCTGCACCCCCTCTTCACACCCCAGCTCCATCTTGCACCCCCTCTTCACACCCCATCCCCAGCTCCATCCTGCACCCCCTCTTCACACCCCATCCCCAGCTCCATCCTGCACCCCCTCTTCACACCCCATCCCCAGATCCATCCTGCACCCCCTCTTCACACCCCATCCCCAGCTCCATCCTGCACCCCCTCTTCACACCCCATCCCCAGCTCCATCCTGCACCCCCTCTTCACACCCCATCCCCAGATCCATCCTGCACCCCCTCTTCACACCCCATCCCCAGATCCATCCTGCACCCCCTCTTCACACCCCATCCCCAGCTCCATCCTGCACCCCCTCTTCACATCCCATCCCCAGCTCCATCCTGCACCCCCTCTTCACACCCCATCCCCAGCTCCATCCTGCACCCCCTCTTCACACCCCATCCCCAGATCCATCCTGCACCCCCTCTTCACACCCCATCCCCAGATCCATCCTGCACCCCCTCTTCACGCCCCATCCCCAGATCCATCCTGTACCCCCTCTTCACACCCCATCCCCAGCCTGCATCCCCTCTTCACACCTCAGAGACAGAAGCCCAGGCCCTGGAACCCAGCTCTGCTGTGCAACCTAACGGTTCACGTCCACAGGGCTGACCAGCCCCTGTGACCCAGCCTGGTGTGGTCAGGCTGCAGAGGCACAGGCCCGGCTGTCCAGCTCAGGTGGGGAGGGACACAGAACAATGGGGCGCAGGCCCCAGCTGTCCAGCTCAGGTGGGGGGGACGTAGAAAAATGGGGTGCAGGCCCCTAGCTGTCCAGCTAAGGTGGGGAGGGACACAGAGGTCAGAGAGAAAGAGACAGAGAGGTTTTTATGTTGTCCACTGGGGGCAGCTTGGGGCCTAGGACTCTGTCCTGGGGCCACATTGACTGGGAGCCAACCCGCCCGTCCAGGACCCTGAGGTGTCGGGTGCGAGGGCTGGCCACTCCCAGGCAGACACTGCTGGCTCACAGAGGGAATGCCCAAATGTCAAGGTCGGGTTTGAGAGACAGGAAGGACAGCCCCTGAGAACCCCAGCCCCCATCTCAGCCAAGGCTAAGACACACTGGGCATGGCTTGCAGTGCTCAGGAAAGCAGCTAGCATGGGCAAAGGGCCTGGGGTTTCAGGGCATAGTTGACAGCCCTGGAGGCTAGGGTGGGCGTAGCTAGGGAGACAGGCCAAGGCCCCAGGCGATTAGGTTGGGCTCAGTGCTTAGAACCTGAGGAAGGGCCTCCCAGTCTCTGTTGCTGTTTGTGATGCTAATGCTAGGGGTATAACCTAGGGCCTGTGCCAGCTAGGCAAGTGCTCCGCTGCTGAGCAAGGCCTCCACCCGAATCCTCGGTTGTAGAATGAAGGGCTGGCGGGGAGGGCATTGAGCAGCTGTCTTCAGAGGATGTCAGGTGAGGGCCTCCAGAGGTCTGTCCACTGCTCCTTGCTGGACGCCAGCCAGGGGTGGGGGTGAGGGGCTCCCCTCCAGGGGTTGGTGAGGGCACAGGCTGGTTATCCGGGCTGTGCCCACCTGACCGATCTCACGGGCCCAGGGTTTCTGCACAAACCTCAAGTCTGTTACCGGGCAGCGGCGGCTGAAGCAGGATGGCCGTGCTGATGGACAGCGGGGGAGATGGGCCGATAGCCGGCCTCGGTCCCCTCCTCCCAGCCCCTGTCGCCGGCCTGTGTGGGTGGGAAAAATCATTTCAGCTATTTTGTGTTATCGTGGGGCCTGGCGCAGCAGGCGATAGGCCTATTTGTCTTAGATTATCAGGCGGGGGAGGGGTGCTGGTGATGGCAGGGGTCAGCCTGGGGTCAGTGCCAGAGCACAGCCTGGAAGCTGGCTCGGGAGCCACCCCCTCCAGTGTCCCCAGCTCCAAGCCCTCTGGTCAGGTCCCTCGGGTCACTGAAGCCCCGGGGCCCAAGCCTGCTGCCCCTTCCCCTGCCTGCCCATCAGTAAAGGGGCAGAAGGCCCAGCATGGCACATTCTTCTCTGTGCTTGCCCAGTGCCCCGGCTCCCTCGGAGCTGGGAAAGGCTGGGCACTTCTGCCCAGAGTGTGCGGTGGGTCTCCAGCCCAGGGATAGGAGGCAGAGGAGGCAGAGGCTGAGGACAGCACCCCTGCGACAAGGCCACGTCAGAGCTGGGCCCCGGCGGGGTGAGGCCCTGGCCGTGAGGAGCGAGCGAGCGAGTGAGCAAGTGGCAGCTTGGGAGAGCAGCAGAGGCCCAGGCCGAGCTCACAGCCTGGCTGGCCAAGAGCAAGGGACCCCACCCTGCGGGGCTTGTGGCCGGCCGATGGTTGTCTTGGAGTGGGGTTAAGAGGCACAGGCTTGGGTCAGCAGGGGCCACAGGCAGCCAGCTGACAGATAGGAGCGTTGGCTGCCCAGAGA